AAAAGGCAAGCTGCAGAAAAATCATATACATGATCTTATTTATGTAAAAATAGCATTTATATGTGTATGTATACTCATATGGAAATGTATGGAAAGGGAACTAGATGGAGGTATATGAAACTAGACAGTGGAATGAGACTGGAAGCACTGGAAAAAAAGGGTCTCTCTTTGCTCTTCTAGTTGTGTATCATTTAAGTTTTATAAAATGAGATGGTAGTCATTTATTAATTAAAAAAAGAAAAATGGGCAAAGGCAGTTCACAATGGGAAATGCAAATGGCCAATAAACATAAAAAGATGCTCCCCCTTATTAACAAAAAGAAAAATTCTGCCCACCAGAATGCTAAAAGTATTTAAGGATTCGGGGTGGGTGGAAGTGTAGGCAAACAGGCACTCAGCTGATGGAGTTGTAAATTGGTACCATCTTTTTGGTGATATTTCCCAAAATGTTAAACGTGCACATTCTCTGACCCAAGAAATCTATTTCTATTTATCCTACAGAAATATCCACACAGGCAGCAAAATACATGGGTAAGAATGTTAATAACTATGCCTTTAGCCATAATTAAAAAATTGGAAAGAACTTATTTTCCATCAGGAAGGGGTTGGTTAAACAAATTCCAGTTATTCATGCAGAGGAACGTATGTAGCCATAAAAAAGCAGGTCTACATTCTAGTGGGAGGGGAGACAAGTTTCAGTGCAGTACGTGTAAGATGGGGATAGGCACCTACCTCATACGGCTGCTTGTGAGGGCTAAGAGTTAATCCATGGTAAAGCGCTTCCAACAGTGCCCGCACACAGCAACCACAAGTGTCAACTATCAACACGTTTGCTTAAATATGCTTAAATATGCCTAAGTCCGGAAGAATAGCAAACCAAGTAATTATTCCTTCTGAGTAGACTGTGAAAAGGAATGTCCTTTTTCATTTAACATTTCTGTACTGTAGAAAATGCAAATGAATATGTTTATTAATAAGCTTCCAAATTTGTTAACCATAAAAAAGCAGATTTATCAATCAAGGTTTAACAGCCATCACTCACTACACTGTGAAAAAATATATATTCCTGTTAAGTTCACAGAACTACATTTGAGTTTTAACTCTAATTGGCCACATGCAAGTCACACAATCTATGAATCTCCCTTTCCTTGACTACAAATCTAAGTGAGAGAGGCATAGCGACTGACCCAATGCCTGCAGTGCAGATTCTTTCCACACAACCCTCCCTTCAATTCACATCAACGTGATAAACATACCGTTCAATGATCGAGTGAATACCAACTGGGTGTGGATGTGGGGAGTTTAACCTCCAAGAAAACCAGCAGGAAATTCAGCAATAATGAGCAAATGCTCAGTAGCCATTGGGCAGTTATCAGCGGCCTGCGTGCCGTTAACAATGACTGCTCTTTTAAGAACCAAACAGATGGCGCTGCTTGGCGACTGCCAGGTCACTTCATCAGAGGCTGGCCAGCCCCCAGAATTGCTAACCAGGATTATCTGTGTGGGTATACATTAATATCCGAAATAATGAATCACTGAATAGCCATCTTAAATCAAGTTGTCTAGTGGGGACGTGGACTAACAGAAGATGACGAGTACACAGACTGCTGCTTCCTTTTCCCTTACACCCTAATCCAGTCTTTTGGGGTCCAGCCCATTTTCCCCACAGAGCCTTGCCTTCGCCTCAGAATCCTTTCTAAACAACACACAGGGATCAGAGCTGGCAAGACAAACTTGTATTTGCCAAGTCTAACACTGCTTTTTCTAAGCTCTGACATTATACCAAACATCTTTGGCATTTATGACAAATGTACCACAGGGAAGTTTCTTTATATATGCAAAAGAGGTAAGATCTAAAAAACAGGGTGAAATTCTAGCCACTGAGAGGATGCTCCCTTCTTACCTACTCTGATACAAGAATTCTGTCATCTCAGCAGAAGTATTAAAAATATGCCACCTCAAAACCTACTTGGAAAGAAGCCAGTTATAAATAAATAAATCAACTCAAGATCATTTTATCTTAGAGCGGAGGAGTTTATAGCTTTATTGGACATTGACTTGTTTCCTCTCAGCCACAAAGAGAAAAAGACCCAAACAAAAGTCCCTACATTTTCTTGTATAACTTAAAATACATTATATCATTACTACATATTTATACTTCAATAAATCTTAATCTATAAAGCACATTTCTTATAATTAATTGTTATCAGAAAATCTATAAACAAGCTCCATTCTGCCTCACTTTTCCACCAGCTGGCCTTGCATTTATTACTATGCTTTTTAACAGGCTCATGCAAATCTCACCTTCCATTTTTTAAATTTGATCCAAGCACCAGATGTAACCAAAATCTCTGGAACTATGAAATCTTTTTATTCACATGGGTCATTTTCCACACAATTAATGCCCACTATAAAAAAGCCTTTTCTCATATTCTATATTTTAACTTCCAGAGTTTTCCACTAAACAGTAAAACCACAGTACTTGGGATTCTCAGCCAAGGAGTATATAAGCCTACTACTACAATGTATTACTTTTATACATTTTTTAAAATGTGTTAAGACTTAAAATTAAAAAAAAATAGTTCAATCAATTCTGATAGTTAATAAACTAGTTGTTAATAACCTATTATTTTTTAAATAGAACAATCCATTCAACTTAACATGTAAGTACAACCTCAATGCTACTAGAGATTGATTAGTTTTTTTAAAAGACCCACAAACCTCCAAACCATGATGGAGTATCTTGGACTCACCTCTGATTGCTGGAGAGCTGGCCAGCTCTCTGAGCTGAGTCTTCCTTTCCCCCAAAGACAACACCCTGGTAGGAGGACTATGGCTCCGGGAATCTCAGAGGTGACCTCCCCCAGGACTGCTCCGATGGAGGGAAACAGCTCACTCACATGAAACAGCTTTAGACCAAACCCCCGATGATTTACAGTGGAAGAAACATCTACCTACCCATGGTAGGGTTACAGTATCTAGCACAGTGCCTCGTCGGTAGAAAATGTTTAATAATAAATGCATGGCTGCTCTGTTAGCCTGCTGTGCAACCCTTTTGTACCAAAGGAATAAAACAGCCAACCTGATACTTCTTGCCCACCTGTCATGGACATTTCTGTCCTTCACCAAAAGAAAGGCAAAATAAATTAGATCTTCAAGTCTCTTTTGTTTTCTAAAAGCCAAGACAGACCATTACCCTTCTGTTTACATTTGCCCTTCAACACTGCTGTTCACTACAAATTCCTCCCTAGTGTTAAGATTTCTACTCTTGTAGTTTACAACTGCTTATTGTTCACTGTCCACTTTCTACCGATAACACAGAACATTCTCATTAGCAGGATGCCTTCAAATTACAGACAAGGTAAGTGTGTTTTGAGTTTTCCTGCAGGCAGATAATTAAATGGAGATAAATTCTTGATATACTTCAATTCCTGGATCATGATATTTGTTTTATCTTCCCCAATCTAGGTGTCCCATTCACTTTTGATGTTTTATCACCATCACTTCTCATCTGAGTTTTAAGGCTCATTTTACTTTGAGGCTTTTGGTCATCCTTTATCTTCTATTTTCTGAATGCATATCCAAGTTAGGTAAAAGGAAGCAGAAGGGTACATTTTTAAAAAAGGGTTTAGGTTTTCAGATTTTCTAATTCCTACGTTGCCTTTTAATGTAGAAGGGAATGTATCCTTGCAAAGACATTTCAATGATCAACACAGAAACAATGTCTGTCTAAAAAAGAAACTTTTAAGGGACAAAGAATCAGGTAGTTCATTATTTGGAAAAATAATAAGAATATAAACATCACATGGAAGATTTAGGCATTAACACCTGAATTAAGTTTAAAATTTCAGTTTCTAGGCAGGTATGATATCATTTCTTTCACGGTAAAATAAAATAATGGTGGGTGAAGATTTTCTACATTTCCCAGTGGATTTTCTAACCGTCTATATAGGGAAATAAAACTATTATGTATCATTTCATGTTTTTAATTTTGTCTTCATTTCTGAAGAAAAAGACCTGAGTGCTGATTTTTTTTTGTAATTTCTTAAACTTTCACAACATTCAGAAGTTTTTCTGCATTGTGTCTTCGCTGATGTCTAAAAAGATTTGAGCTCTGACTGTAAGATTTCCCACACTGAACGCATTCATAAGGTTTCTCCCCAGTATGGATTCTCTGATGATTAATCAGCCCAGAATTCTGGCTAAAGGCTTTTCCACATTCAAGACATTTGTAGGGTTTCTCTCCAGTATGGACTCTCTGGTGCTGCACGAGGATAGAACTTCTGCTGAATGCTTTCCCACATTCAACACATCCGTAGGGTTTCTCCCCGCTGTGGATTCTTTGATGGAGAATGAGGGCCGAGCCCTGACTGAAGTGTTTTCCACATTCATCACATATATGTTGTTTCTTTCGAGAGGGGTTTCTTTTTCTTTCAAATCTGCCCTTGGGGAAACAGGCTTCTCCATACTTAAAAATCTGAGGAACACCTATATTGAGAGTGCCCGGAACTTCGTGAGATTCTACCGCTGAAGGAATCTCCTGCTTTGGAGCTAGAGCTCCATTTTCAGTCCTACCATCATCATCTGAAATAGAGACAAAACGTAAATATCACTCATTTCCTATTCTGGGAGGAAAGAGACCTGAAGAAAACTTTAGTAAATGTGAACTAAAAGTAAAGAGCTTGCATTCATCTATAAACAGCAACCTGAAAACCAGTGTTAAGGTTGCCTACTCCAAAAAAGGAAATTAAATGACTGATTCTGAGGCTAAGGGGGTAATGGCATGCTCCCATAATGAAGAACTAAAATGTTGTATCTGAATAAAAGCAGTAACATAAGCAAGTGTGCTTTACAACACTCGTCAGAAAACAGGGCAGAAAGATGTGGCAGATTCTATATGATTGTTAGACAAAGTGCTGCAGCTAGGTCTGGATGAAATTTCATAAGAAATATAAAAATTGCCCGTTGGGAAATCCTTGTAATATTCTTTTGCTTTGAGAAAAGAAGAAATTACACCAAATCATGATGGTATAAATAATAAGCGATCTGTCAAAAAGTGACTATTTCTGAAATGAGCAAGATAAGGCAGGTCACAGCCAACACTACACTAAGAGCAGAACCCAGAAGATGTCGTAATAAGAGACTGAGGGTAATAGGAGCTGAGGGTATTCTGTTAACTCAGGACATGACACTTACATTTAACAGGCCCTTAGTAAATGAAAGTTTTCCTGTAAAATACCCTACTTGGTATTTGCCATGGTACTTAGTTAGGTGAGTTATTATTTTTAAGCCTCAGTTAGATAAGTCTAGTGAAACAAAAGCCTGAATTACCAACATGAGGTACTATCACCCACCCGCAGGACACAGTGTATTTAAAGACTGTCCTGAAACTTCCAGCCTGTAAGAGTACAAACAGTTACTACAGGGTGAGCAGCAACAATTAGAAAATAAACAGTGAGCAAGTCTATAATAAATGATGAAGAAAGGGATAAAGTCAAGAGAGAAGACTAACAGAAAGACTGAAGGGTTGCAGGGGGTCAGGGAGGCCTGGAGACATGAACAACGGAGAAGCAAGTGTTATGTGGGGACAAATGGCACAGAAATAAGTTCCCAAGCGTCATAAAGACTAGACTGCTGAAATGAAGCTATTTACAAGCGAGGGAAAATTATTCTAAAATTCAGGCAGGGGAGAAATTTTCTACCCAAGAAAATGCCACCTCCAATGACCAAGGATAGTGGTTCTCAAATTTCATTCCAGACACAATGTCCCATGAAACATGTAAAACTAACGGTTTTCAGCAGACGTCAGCCCCACCCCATCAGTTCTGGTTCACGAGCACTGGGATCTCTCTCTCCCTCTCCCTCTCCTCTCTCTCCCTCTCGAGAGTCCCCTCAGATGGGAAGAAAACCTGATGAGACTCCATCTGTGGCACACACCAGCGTTACCTACAACTATCTCAAGGAAAGATTCCTAAAGCAATCTCAAAAACAAATATGAAAAAGAATCCAGCAGTTTTAGGAATATACTAGGTTGTATCAAAGTATACTAAGTATGTGGTGTCAACTGCCAATATACTGCAAAGACTAGTTTTAAGCGATTTATTGTAAATCTGAGCTCTTTATTTAATTCTTCTATACTTAAAGCATATTTTAGCTATGGAGCCTACTTTTGCATAAATACTTAGAAAAGGTGAAGAGTTTTACCCAAAATACATTTCTACAAAAGATGCTTCTTAGAAAAAAAAGACTCTAGGCAGGATGTTAGAGAAAAAAAAAAATGGCTAAAAATTTAGAAAAGACTTCAGTGGTGGCTACAAAAAGAATAGGTAGATTTGAAGAGGCTTCATCTAAGCTTATTATACCAATAGGATTAGGCAGGAGATTGAAAGGATGTGAAACAGATGGCAAGTAAACAATACTGAAACAGAGGGACCTCATCTACAGGTGGGTGCTGGCTCAACATAAGGCAAATGCCAATCTGAAATGGGGAGATCTTCAAGAAAGAGGTAAAAGGGAAGAAAAGGATGATGACGTTAATGTCTAAGATTAAAAGACCTGAGGGTCCACAAATCAATTGTTGACTGTGTATACACAGTCTGTCTATGTGTACAAAATTAGGTTAAGGTCATTATTCCCTATCCCCTTTTGTCCAAAGAGTTCTGGACAAAAGGCCCACACTCTCACCCTCTAGCCCACTTGAAGTTTTGGTCCTCACCACAGTGCCTTAAGGAATGGAGCTCCCAGGATGCCCACTTGAGCTGGTTCTCCACAGCATCCAGCTCAGAATTTGGTAATCCCTGAGCTTCTTCTTGAGATACTATCTCCTCTACTAGAACTTCCCGTTTTCGTCGACGGAGAGAAACCTGGAAAAAATAAAGTCTGGCTCAGCTGAGAAGGAATCTGATGAGATTCAGAATTAAAAACACGTAAGAGAACCCATACAAAACATATAGTGCGGTGGTCTATACGACAAAGCATAGCCAGAGGGGAGCAGTGCAGGGGTGGGAGGAATACACACAATTCTAACTTAGTTGAGTGGAATGAACTCAGCAGCCCTGCCTACTGCTATGCCAGTGCTTCTGCCCCAGGAGAGTGACACAAGCAGACTCACCGGCTGTCCAGGGTCATCTAGCTCACTCTCTAAATCCTCCAGCACTGTCACTGCCTCCTCTCCGTTCTCCGGATGATGCTCTCGAACCCAGGTCTGCAGTTCCTTGGGCAGGATGGCAACAAACTGCTCCAGCACTACCAGCTCCAAGATTTGTTCTTTTGTGTGTGTCTCTGGCCTGAGCCATAGACGGCAAAGTTCTCGAAGCTGGCTCACAGCTTCACGGGGCCCAGGTGAATCCTGGTATCCAAACTGCCTGAATCGCTGTCTGAAAACCTCTGGATCAGGAAGATGGTTCCAGGGGATGCTCGATCCCTCTTCACCATCAGGATCCTCCTCCAACTTCACTCTCAGTATTTTTTCCTCTTCATCTGGAGTTGGGATTATAAGTATTGAATCTTCTTCCACGGACTGTGCAGACATCCTGATTTATAATACTTCAAGAAAAGTCAATCAAGGCAGGATACAGGCCTCAGGGAAATACCGCTTTCTTCACAGGCTCTCCTGAAGCACAAGGAAAAAAAAATACGTCAACTACCAAATATCCTAAGAATCTGAACATGTGCTGATAAAGGAAGTAAAAGATATTTGTTTTTCTTACCAGATTAAAAATTCCAATCAATAACCTACACCAGAAGTTGGCAAACTATAGCTCACAGCCAAACGTGGCTTGTTGCCTATTTTTGTACAATGTTTGTACTAAGAATAGTTTTCACATTTTTACATGGTTGAAAAAAACCACAAGAATACTTCATGACATGTGAAAATAATACAAAATTAAAATGTTTGCGTCCATAAATAATTCTATGTATTTGCTGACAGTTCACACTACAATGATAGAGTTGAACAGTTTCAACAAACACTACATAGTCTGAAAAACCTAATATTTACCACCTGGCCCTTTAGAAAAAGTTTGCCAAGCTGTGACCCACTAAATCAACAAACCTTATTTCGTTAATCAAAAGAATCCAAGTAAGAACCAGTCCAACTCAATGTTTTCTAAATGCATTTGACCCTGGAACACATTCTTTGCAACTCAGGACACCCGTAGGTCAACTCAAAAACAGGGACTGCTTTTCTGTTATCTGCTTAAAATTTTCTTAACAAAATATTTTTTAATGGTTAGGTTAAGAGTTCAGAAATATTTTTTAAGAACGCCCTGAACTCAAAATATATGTGAAAAAATATCCACTTGCTCAGTAACAGATCAATACTGAAAAAACTAACCACTAGATGCCACGCAATGCAAATATTCAGCCACTCACCACCCCCAGAACTACATTTAAATCTGTAATGACCGGCATTAATCACAGCAAACTCAGTGAATAAAAGGTACTCTCATAACATCTTAACTTCTTGCAGTGGCCCAGAGTCATCATCGCTCACTGGATGACTCACTGTTTCCCCAGCTTCTACCTTCAGGGAAATCTTGTGCTATTTCTGATCCTTTCCTTGTATTTGCACAGTCATGCCCATGCCATTGTTTACAACACATACTAGGAATGAACCACGCAGCTACTCAATGTATCTACTGAGGGCCAGAATCTGAAAACCAATGGTTTCAAAAAACTTCTTGTAACCCTCACAAGTCTAGTTATCATAAAAGACCTTATCACAGACAAGTAATGCAGACAGGTTTAATTAAGTACCCTGGAGTGTGGCGGCCTTCTAAATAGGGTTTAGCCAACAGATGAGTTGGTTCCTATTCCAGGATCCTACCTTATCAAAGGCTCAATCATTCTATAGAAAAGAAATTTATCTTCCTTTTACGTTCTCTTACTGCAGCCGGCCCTTGGGCCGTGAAGGAGGTACAAGTGGGCAGGCCCGCGATCCCTAGTGTTTGGGCGGGGAGCCGAGTCCCAGGTGATCTCCTCGCCTCACTCCGGCAGAGTTCCGCTGCAAACCCCGCCCCGACGTCCCCCAGCCCCTCTTCGCCGCACTAGCAACGGCGGATTTCGGATGACGGAAGGCCACACTGCCCCAACAACGTCGCGGCCTCAGCGGATTTCGGATGACCGAAGGCCACACTGCCCCAACAACGTCGGGGCCACGGTACTTCCGCCCGCGTCCGGCGGAACTACAAGCCCCGACAGCCCCCGCGCAAGGCCCGCCCCCTCCCACCTCCGCCCAAAATGAGTCCCAGAACCCTCCGCGAGACGCCAGGCCTCGAAATAGAACAAAACCGGCCGAGGGGGGAGGGGGGAAAGGCGAGGGTCGCGGAGGACACAGGGGATGGAGGACTCTCCGATGGTACTGAAAGCCCAATCTGGCTTTCCATCTACCTCTACCAGCCCCCCAACTGCTGTATACGGAGACAGCGGCCTGTCCGCGCCTCCTGGCAAGCCGAGGAAGATCCCGCCAGGCTTCTTTTCTGTCTCCTACCAAAAGGACTGCAGCCCCTTAGCCCAGCGTCCCCCTCACGCCCTTCCCCCATTCTCTCGCAAACCTCCGACTCGGGATCCGCAGCAGCTTCGCTGTCCAAAGCAGACGCAGAAACGCCGCTCACAAGCCGTTTCCCAGAAGCCCCCGGCACGGACTGCTTCCGGTCTGCGGGTCCCAGGAGGCGGGGAGAGGCGAAGCCCCGCGTTGCCATGGAGATGGGCTCCGGGCGGGGGAGGGGCGGTGCGACGACAATGACCGCTTTGAGACTGCGCTTGGCCTGGCGCCTCTCCTCGGATAGCCCAGAGTTCTGTGTTCCGTTTAAGAGACAAGGAAAAGAAAGGGAGAATTCTGCCATTAAGATAGTCTTTACGGATTCATAACCCCTGTCACAGGAGTTACTATCTCATGTGATCCTCGCAGTAGCCCTCTGAAAGGAGTAATAAAGGCTAGTATTTATGAATGCTTACTACGTTGTACCAGCCACATATATTGTCATTTTCACAACAACTGTATCATGGTAGGAACTTTTATTATCCCCATCTCACAGCTGAAATAGATAATTGAGGCACAAGTAAGTAACTTTCTACAGCTCATAACTAGTAAGGGGGAAACAAGATTTGGCTCCCACTACATGTTACACTACTTTATTTTGACAAAATTATCTATCAGGGAAATGAGAGGAGACTCTTAATGAAGAGTTTTGGCAGTGATCTCAGTGAATTTGCAGAATTCATGGTCCTCTTCTGACTTCGGGCTTGACATTTTATACCACAAAACAGCTGCTGAAGGTATCATTTAGAAAGTAAATCAGGGGTATCTGGGTGGCTCAGTCGGTTAAGTGTCCGGCTTAGGCTCAGATCATGATCCCTCGGTATGTGAGTTCCAGCCCTGCATCGGGGTCTGTGCTGACAGCTCAGAGCCTGGAGCCTGCTTCCGATTCTGCATCTCATTGTCTCTCTGCCCTTCCCCCACTTGTGCTCTGCCTCTCTCTGTCTCTTGAAAATAAATAAATGTTAAAAAAAAAAAAAAGTAAACCAGCCCACTTCATTTCTCTATTTCAAGACCTTCAATGGATCCCCACTGTCTTAAGTATGACATAAAAACTCCTTACATTGGCCTGCAAGGCCCCTGTGGTCTGTTCGCTGCCTCCCCACTCTGACCTCAGTTCTTAGGTTCATTGTGACCCTAGATTCCTAGTCTCAGTGGAAGTCTCTCCACCCTTCATGGCACAGTAGAGTGATCTCATTTATTCATTCTCCGGTTTTTGCTTTTTCTTTTTCTTTTTTTCTTTTTCTTTCTTTTTTTTTTGTGTGTGTGTGTCTGTAAGTTCCATAAAGGCAGGGACCTTGTTTGTCTTGTACACCACAGTATCCTCCCCAGTTCTAGGATGTTGACTGCCTGGTACATGGAGAACTCAATAAATATTTCTTGAATAAACGAATGAATTGTGGACTGGTCACGTTGCTGCTTTTGCCAGGTCACATGTCACGCATCAGAAACCACACAAAAGAGCCCTGTTGTTAAAGGTCTATGTTCAAAGCACAGGTCCAGCCTTCCAGAAGCATTGCAGGATTCTCAGGCTTCAGCTTTCTGCCTCATTCAGGCCTTCATAAAGGGCCCTCAGCCTCCACTGGCTTCGTGAATGAGAGAGCAAGTGAGCAAGCTGTTGATGGTATAGTACTGCTTTACACTCGGACTGGAACTTTGTCTCCCCAGCATGCCTAACTCTGGTGCCTCTTCTCTCCGTTTAGGAGGCCACAGAAATCCAGCCATTTCACTTTCCTACTTGACTACTGCCACCAAGCTGCCTGGCTGCTCTTCCCAAACTTTTCTTCTTTTGTGACCCTAAAAGCTAGCTCAAGGCATTTTTTATTTATTTTATTTTGCTTTAAGAGTTTTTGCATCTAATTAATGTTAGAGAACAAAAAAGCTTAACAACATTGAACAGAAATAATTGGGGAAGTAGGAAGTGTTGCAAAATTTTATAAAACTCTTTGCCTGGGATTCGTTCTATTATTCCTAATTCTACGGGTAAATGGAAACCACAATGAGGTTTCCCTTTCTAATTTACTCTAACTTCTAAGCCTCTAATGTCAAAATCTCTAATTTTGAGGCCAGTGACCCATAACACCCACTTTGAAATACCATCCTTCTGAGCCCCATTATGTGGGCTCTTTCCTGAATGGTGGCCCCTGTTGCCATCTTAAAGATAAAGTCCAGATAGAGCATCACATTCCTCTGAGAAACCTGAGTGCAGGGAATAGCTCCATGCCAGCGCTGGACAACCAGCAACATAGGTCACGTAGGTGAGGCTTGAACTGCAGCTGATTTGAGTCTTGGCAGAACACCTTGTGATCCTCCCAGAAGGTGAGAGCATGAGAAGCTTGCAAGGAGCTGCAGTAAGGCCATTTGCCACTCAGGTGTCTGTCTTCCAAGAAGGCTGTTGTGAGACAGGTCTTCATTGTTTCCTGGGTGGTGATGAGGCTTTCTGCCTCACCTGCCTGGAGTACAGCTGCAGACTATAAACAGCCTTAAATACAGCAGGGTTTTAGCTCCTCAGCAACAAGGTATTCCATATCTCATGTTGAAGTCATCTGACTCCTTTTGTTATCCTTTTGGTGTGAGACAAAAGCTCATGGGGAGTTGGTACCTCTTGGCTACTCTCGATTTCACTGTCTTTGTAAATACTGATCTGTCTAAACTTAAAGAAGGCTCATTGTTTCTCTACCAGCCAAATCTCTTGACCTTGTTTGAAAGCATCTCATTCATTAACTAATGGTAAAGAAACAAACACAAGAACCAGATAGATACTACCTGGGTTCTAGAGACCTGGACGTGACTACAATGAGGTCATGATTCGTTCCTTTAACATTACTGTCTTGTTTAGGATATAAGCAAGAAAACAAGTATTTATAAGGCAATGTAGAAGTAATACAGTAGGGGAGCCTGGGTGGCTCAGTTGGTGAAGCGGCCAATTCCCGGTTTTGGCTCAGGTCATGGTCTCATATTTTGTGAGTTTGAGCCCCACATTGGGCTCTGCACTATCAGCATGGAGCCTGCTTGGGATTCTCCCTCTCTCTCTCTCTCTCTCTCT